TCGACCTGGAGTATTGGATTAGTTCGCGAATTTTTAAGAGACGGTCCATAATTTTAACTCGAAGGAATCAACATATTCCGATTAATATAATATTTGTTAAAATTTTAATGTATATCACGTTGTGCGTCGAGAAATACATAGGCTAAGATTCGTGATAGGTTAAAATGGTAACCCAGTATACAAGGCATTCCACATTTACGAAGGAATTGGGAGAAGGGCCATGCCATAAGAAGCCAGTAGGTGCGATGGAGGCAATCTACATTTTAACTCGATGGAATCAGCACATTCCGAATAATATAAAATTTGTTAAAATTTTAATGTATATCACGTTTTGTGTCGAGAAATACATAGATCCAGATTCGTGATAGGTCAAAATGATAACCCAGTATACACGGCATTCTGCATTTACAAAGGAATTGGGAGAAGGGCTGTACCATAAGAAGCCAGAAGGTGCGATATAGGCAATCTACATTTTAACTCGATGGAATACGCACATTTCGAATAATATAATATTTGTAAAAAATTTAAAGTATATCACGTTCTTTGTCGAGAAATACTTAATTCATTTTCATGTGTCGAACTTGTAGGTCACAAAACTATTTTACCGTCACTATAAGACTACCCTTTATTTGCGATAGTTTAGAGACTAGAATAAAAATAGTCTAATTATGATGAATAATTATACTATTTAATTTAAAGTTGAAAGGAAAAATTGGCTAATTCAAGAATCATAGCCATATTTTACATAAAGAATGTATGATGATGTATATTGGTATAATTGCAAGAAAAGGCATAAATATTGATCTTCAAGATTTGCATAGAGAAAACTGAGGAAACGAAATCCTAAATCTTCGCTTCTGTTTATTCTTGTTCTTGAATTTAATGTCAGGGGAGGAGGACTTGGGATCGCGTAAAACACAAACATCGCCATTGCAGACGAATTCGCCAGAGTCTGAGGACTCAGGTGAGAAGCAGCTACAGAAGTTGAACAAAGCCATAGTAGGAATTGAACCTAAGTAAATTATATATCCCGATCAAAGAGCTGACGAAAGGAATGAGCAGAACGTGGAGTGTAGTGGATATTATTCGACTAACGAAGACTCTTGGAATAGTTAGAGTAAAAAGTTCCCAAGAGAGCGTCTTTATGGCGCGCGTCAATCACATACAACAAGGATCAAGGGAGATCTCGTTGTTGCATAGCATGGGCCGAGAACAGATTAGATCCTCAGATGAAAAGATGGTGTATTGGGGAATGATAAATACTATATATGGACAGCTGCAACTATGCCAAAATGGAAAGGCAATGGGATAGTTCCAGCTTGCTTGCTACAAATTTCCATGTGAATATGGCAATTAGAGTCAATTTATAGGTACCATGGCCTACCAATAACAACAACCACGGCCAGAATAATTCTACAAGTGGGGTTTGGGGATGGTAATATGTACGCATATCTTACCCCTACCCCGAGGGATAAAGAGGCTGTTCCAGGAGACCCTCGACTCAAGACCTACCAATAAGCATATCAATATTTATACTATTGTTGTAACTTACAGCTCGTTTAGATGGTTGTCACTCATTGTATCGTATTGTATTGTTATCCCAAAACAATATTTATTTTGATTGTTTCATTAAAATTGATTGTATTATATTGTATTATTAAATCTGTTGTTCGGGAACAAGGAAAAATCTCATTTTCTGAAACAACCGATTTGGTGTGGTGGAATTGTTTCCTATTTTTCTTTTCAATCATGCCCTAACTTATTACTCCATAATTATGTTTTACCCCTTTACCTTTTTTTATTTATCTCCAAATCTCCCACCTATAACCTACTTTGTCTTCGTTCCTCTTTTTTTTTTTTGAACATCGCCGTAAAATTGCTAATTTTTTTAGAATTTGCATGAATTTAATTGCTTAATCTATTTATAAGACATATTTTGTGATAAATTAGTGAAAAAGGATTTTCTTAAATTACTTTTATTCGTAATTTTTGATAAATTTAATATTTAAACAAATGAAGATATTTTAGTAAACTTATCAGTTATAGTACAATATGATGCAGTCAAACCAAACAACAAAATGTTATTTAACAACAGTAAACAATGCAATCTATCCAAACATTATATTTATAAAACGATACAATACAATATATTATAGAAAGATGGGTAATAACCATCCAAACAAGCTGTTAACATATTAAAGGACGTTATTTATTTTATTTTTCAGGTTACCAAATAGTAATATTTATATTGCACAACTTAAATCTTAATGGTATGAAATATTATATACATTGTATAGTGCACAAACTTAAAACTTTATAAAAGTTTTTTACATTATCTCATTACGTAAAAGTCAGCTAGAATAGTAAACATGAATTGTTAATTTGTAACAAAGGATAGAAAACCGGCTAAATGCCATTAAATTATACTGATAGAATGTTATTATATATAACTGGAATATTTTTTGTGGAAATTAGAAGGCATGCGCATTCGACATTATTGAATTAATTTCTATTAATTAGTTGCAACTAACAAAACGTGTATTGAATACGGCCGTCCAGAGACGGAGCTAGAGTTACGGGAGCGGATTTAGTCGAACTCATTAGTTTTAGTTCGAATTTTATATTTGTCTTAGAAATCCACTGAATATTTATAAATTATTAATTTAAAACTCAATAACTAAAAGCGATAAAAATTTCGAATCCATAAACTTAAAATCGTGGCTCGGCCAATATGCGGCCGTCTCATTGAGAGAAAAATACATATCAATGCATCTGTCAGATGACAGTTGCATGAATATGATAAATACAAATGACAAGCATTAGAATAACAGGTAAGAATGTCCAATATTTCTACGTGATTTGCGTCAGGATATTTGACTTTTTCATCTGTTTTCTTTTTCATTTCCTTCTTGTGTGCGGTTTTAATTAAAGTGGGATAAATTTCACAAATGGTTATATAATTATGATTTTTTAACGAAAATTATATAACTTTTATTTCTCACATAAAATTTATAAAACTTTAATTAACTCATAAAAAATTATAATGGCCAAAAATACAACTTTTCGGTAGTATTTTTTATTTTTAATCTAATAATAATCCAATAAAAATAGAAATGACCTGCCCGACCCATGCGACCCAATACCTATGTATATAAATTAAAATAAAACTAAAGGTGAATCCTCTTCTTTTCGAGATCTTCATTCAAATTAATAGCATTATTGTGTCAACAGCTCTCTAAGTATCCATACTTTTTATATCTTTTTTTTTTGTCAGAATCTCATGCAATGTAAACTAAGTTTTTTGGAAGGTTCACTTTAGTATTATTTTAATGGGTTAATTTATGCAAATTGGTATTGGGTTGGGTAATTCCTATTTTAAGGAGAAATTACATACGAAAATGACTGATCGATCGAAACTAATTGCATTCGCTAGCCAAAAAATATGTGTGTATAATACATATTTTATCGACTATTATTTTGGGGAACGGCTATAAATATATACTTCTCCTATTTTAATTACGTTATTATTTATTAGACTAAAATAAAAAGGGAAAAACGTGGAATAAGAAAATACTACCTGGAAGTTGAATTTTTCAGTCACTGTGGTTTTTGTGTGAGTTAGTAAAAGTTTCATGATTTTTGTATGAAAAAATATAGTTATATGACTTTGGTGAAAAAATATCATAGTTATATGACCACTTGTGAAATTTACCCTCTCAAACTGTTGTTTCTACATTTGCTATGTTTTTCGGTCCAAGTGCAACTGTGCAAGAAGGAGAGCTTTCGAGCAACAGTAAAGTTATCTTAGTGTGACCTGTAGGTCACGGATTCGGGCCGTGAAAGCAACCGCTAATGCTTGCGTTAGGGTAATATATCTACATCACACTCCTTCGGGTGCTTTGTACCCAACTCTTGCGTATTTTTATTTATATAAGTATTTTACATTTACGAAGAAATTTATGAAAATTGACCCACCACTTTTTATTTTGGACAAGGAATTCTGTCTAACTCACTAATTCGGGAGAAGATATTAAATTTTTTAATTTGAAAAAAATTTCCGTAGGGATATCTGAAGTAAGTGGCAATTCAAAAGAACTTTTTAATCATAATTTCCGGTATGAACACTATGTTGAACATGAAACTTGTGGCAGCCCTTCCTCGGAGCCTGCGCGCCACTTTTTTTTCAAGTGTGCAAGAGTGCGAATTCAATGCTTTTCACGACGAGAGCGTAATCTTGCGTTTAAGAGAAAACAAAAGCAAAAAGAACTGTTTTGTATTTGTTCAACTTTCAAAGTAGTGAATATAGTAACAGGAATGTAAGAATGCTACAGTTTTGGAATCATAAAAAATCCAAATCACATTGTTTCCAACATTCAGTGATTTGCAGAAAGGGGTAATTATCATCAAACCAATTGTGACCAAGGGGGAAAAAAGAGGAAAAATAAACCAACAAGATCACACAGCAACAACAACCCAATAAAATCCCACAAGTAGGATCTAGAGAGGGTAGTGTGCACGCTGACCTTACCCCTACCCGCAGGGGCGAAGCTATGTTGGCACAAGGGTGGTCAACCCTTCGCCAAAAAATTATAATAATAAGATAAAATATTACTTGTTATTGATTAAAAATAGACTTTGAACACCCTTGCATAGCCCACTGGCAAAGGGTTTCAAAATTTGAACACCCTTATTGAATTTCATGGCTTCGCCACGACCTACCCGAGGGAGTAGAGATGTTGTTTCGGATAGACCCTCGGCTCAAGAACACGAAAAGAGACATTATATCAGTACCATCAACAAAAAAACAAGAAATAATGATAGCATCGTAAGAACCAGAAAATAGATGAAAAGCAACAACAATAACCAGTAAATAGGCCAGGCACAATGAAAAACGGGAGAATAGTGTGAACACAATATTAACCACTAACAGGCGAAGACAAAACACTATCAAACTAACCTCACACCGATACGAAGTAGAGAAACAAGATCGCACAGCAGCAAATGGAAAATGAGTATCTTCATAGAGTTTTTAAGTATATACTTTAAACCAGTCGATGTTAACTGAAGTTAAACAGGTAGGCATCATACAGAAGACACCTTCTTGGAAGAAAGATAACGCCAGAATCCAGAGAGAAGGTATTTACAAGTTTTACTACGACCTATTTACACGAGCAGTTTGACTGCATTTTTAGAACGATCCGAATGTATTCTCTCCACTGTAAGTCATGTACAGGAAGCCATCCTCATCTTTGTGTTCCTCATAAATCGCAGACATCATGGCAGCTGTAAAACAACGGAAAGCAGACCGATTAAAAACGAAGAAATTTGGAAACGCGTAATGACAATTGTGCCAAAATATTGCTCACCTGTGGGAGGAAGTATATTTTTCACAAAGATAAAAATAGCCTTCTCAGCACTAAGTTTAATTCTCTTACGAACAACATACACAAACTGCCCCACAGTCAGATCAGCAGGAACCAAGTATCTGCAATAATTACGATTAGCAGACATTTCAAAAAGGGAAATATAATAAAACAACAAAAAAAAAAAAACAGTGAGTTCCTACAAGTAGGGTCTAGGGAGGGTAAGATGTACGCAACATTACCCCTACCCTAGAAGGGCAGAGAGGCTATTTCCGATAGACCCTCGGCTGGAGAAAAATATCATGAAGATAAATGTAAAAGAGCTGGGCGCTAACTCAACACTGTTAACAGGAGAATGCAGATGGAAATTAAAACGGAGAGAGCAGAGAGATCCCACGTTTATGGAAGTTTGAAGCAGTGTCTTCAATTGCTGCATATCACTATCAAATGAAGAAAACAAAATAAAGAAATCCTTGTACTTCAATTATACACTTTAGAACAGACAATCACACCCTATGTTGCTCGGACTCTCTGAAAGTGTCGCCGGATCCTCCAAAAATAGTGCATTTTTGGAGGACCCGACTCGGGTGCAGCAACATTTTGGAGAGTCCGCGCAACATAGATCACACCTATCTTGTGCTCTAATCAATCTCATTGCTAGTGCAAATTAGTCCTCTTTCAACTCGAACGGTAAACACTACATCTTACAATCTTATACCGATGAAAATACTTACGAGAATCCGTTTATTCTTTAGAAAGACGTATAAGAAATTTACACGAGTCACATCATAGCTCATAAAGGTGCAGTAGCCACCCCAACACTAGCTCGAGAAAATTAAAAACTCATTATCGAACAAAACCATCTTTAGCAACATTGAGGATAACCAATGTGAATATAATAGCGGACCAAGCATAGAAGACTATCGAGATTACTAACTTTTTCTTGTCAATGTCAGGAATGTCACTTCTTTCAGCCTTCTCCACAATAACCTAAATTCCAGGAAGAGAAAAATGAAAAGCAGATTTAACAAGGCATATAAAATGTCTAGCATTAAAAAAAAAAAAAGCATCATTGCGAGAGAATAGACAAAATTGCATTGGTACCGGTATTCTATCAGGATACTTCTCCCTGATACGAGCAGCTTCAGCCTGTCGCCTTTCTAGAAAATGCAACCAGAATTAATAAGACAGGGAGATAAAGTTAGACAAAAGGAAAAACAAATGTTTACATAGGCAATGGCTATAATTTTTGATAAGGTAGGCGATGGCTATAATGAATTTTAAAAAAGAAGCCGCAAAATTTTGAAGAGAAAATACAGACGGGTAACCACAGCAATATTTTAGCAGATTCAAGCGACTAACATACTATGATATGAGCCAAGTAATTCTTCTAGATTGATGACATTGACTCGTTACAAAAATTATGTTTTTCCTCTTAATTCTGCACACCACTTTTCACCATTTAATTCCTTTGTATAAGTACTACTTTGCCGTTTGCATCAAAATTTCCACAAACCTTTGAGGGGTCGTTTGGTTTGAAGAGAAGTTATGTTAAGATTAGCTATCCCAATATTATTTCTTATTGACTGTTTTGTATGTTGTATTAATCCTGGGATTGTAAATTTTACTGCTTTTACCCTACGATAACTTTATACTGCAATTACTATTTCACAATCTGGCTAGTATAAGTTATCTCGGTACTATTTTTAGTACAGGGATAACTTATCCCAGGATTAGTAAACAAACAAGTGATAAGGCGGTACAAATTTTTTATCCCAAGGTTATTTTTGCTTATCCATAATACCAAGCGACCCCCCTGAAAGTGCAATAATAGCCACGCTTCCACACAAAAGACACACAAATAGTAGCAGTCCAACAGAAGCTTATACAATAAACAAACTTATAATTATATAAACATGTAAAAAAACAGCAGCCCAGTGCACTAAGCTCCAGCTATACGCCGGGTCCAGGGAAGTGCCGAACCACAAACGTCCCTGCATTTCTACAAGAGGCTACTATTTCCATGGTTCGAACCCGTGACCTCCTGGTAAGATATCTAAATTCCAACTCTCAATTGCACAAAATAAACTACTATGAAATTCACAAGGGAACATAACAAGAAGGGTCCAACAAATCAAGACCCCCCCC